ACATCCAACACCACCATCCACCAACACCAACATTCCTCCTCTCCCCCCCTTCCCCCCATTACTCCTCACCGCCGTATCCCCCCCCCCCCACCCTCACCGTCGAGTCTCATCCGGGAATTCAGGAAACTCACTTGACTTCCCGGATGTTGACGTCAGCACAGAAGATCTCGTCCACGATGTCACAGTCACTGGCATCTTGACAAATCTCGCTCACCACGCGCCACTGTGGGCATCGAGAAGAGAGTGTATTTATCCGTTTATTGACATTTTTATTATTGAAGTTTAGGAGAGAAAAAGAGAGAGAGAGAGAGAGACAGAGACAGAGAAAAGAGAGAGAGAGAGAGAAAGAGAGAGAAAGAAAAAGAGAGAAACAGAGAGAAACAGAGAGAAACAGAGAGAGAGAGAGAGAGAGAGAGAGAGAGAGAGAGAGAGAGAGAGAGAGAGAGCGAGAGAGAGAGGATAAAGAGAGAGAGAGAAACTCACCACGCGCCACTGTGGGCATCCAAAAGAGAGAAGAGAGATTGAGTGTATTTATCCGTTTGTTGTCTTTGTTATTCTTGAAGTTTAGGAGAGAAAAAGGGGCATTTTATTTAGATGTTGAGAGATTAAGGAGAGGAGGTAGACAAGGGTTCGTTTGGATGCGATATCTTTGCGTGGGAGAAGGAGGAGGGGGGGAGGAGGAGGAGGAGAATGAGAAGGAGAGGAGGAGGAAAGAGAGAGAAAAGAGAGAGAGAGAGAGAGAGAGAGAGAGAGAGAGAGAGAGAGAGAGAGAGAGAGAGAGAGAGAGAGAGAGAGAAAGAAAAAGAGAGAACCAGAGAGACAGAGAGAGAAAAAGAGAGAGAGAAACAGAGAGAAAAAAGAGAGAAAAAAGAGAGAGGAAGAGGAAGAGAAGAGATGTATAGTTAGATAGAGAGAGAAACAAAGAGACAGAGAGAGAGAGGATAAAGAGAGAGAAAGAGAGAGAGAGAGGAAGAAAAAGAGAAAGAGAGAAAAAATAGAAAGATAGAGGAAGAAAAAAAGAGAGAGATGATAAGAGATAAAAAACAAAGAGAGAGAGAAGATAGAGAGAGAGAGATGAGAAGACAGAAGAAGAAGAAAAGAGAAGACCAAAGAAGAGAGAGAGACCAGAGAAAGAGAGAGGACCACAGAAGAAGAGAGAGAGAAAGAGAAGAGAAGAGAGAAGAAGAGAGACAAAGTGTGAGAGAGAGAGAAGAGAAAGAAAAAAAGAAGGAAGAGAAACGTGAGAGATTAAGAAAACAAAGCAAAAAGAAAAAGAAAGATATCGTGCGAGTGAGAAAAAAAATAAAGAAAAAAAATCCTACACGCTAAAAAGAAAAAGAAAGAAAGAAAAAAAAGACACACACAAGAGAAAAAAAGAAAGAAAAAACATACACAAGAGAAAAAAAAATGAAAGAAAGAAAGAAGAGAAAAAACACACACAAGAGAAAAGAAAGAAAGAAAGAAAAAAAACCACACAAGAGAAAAAAAACAAAGAAAAAGAAAAAAGAAAATAAACAACACACAAAAGAAAAGACATAAAGAAAGTAAGAAAGGAAAAAAACTCGAAAAAAGACTCACCTGCAGGACACAATCATCACAAGTAACTTCATCAGGTAGCATAAGAGGAATCTGGTAGGAGTCTTCCTTCTGAATCTTTTCCATCCTGAACTGAGTCCCTGAACCGTCAGCTAACTGGAGGGGGATCCTGTAGGGGGAGGAATGGGGGGTGTGGGGGAGAGTGGGGTGGGGTGGGGAGAGAAGGAAGGAGGGAGAAGGGAAGAGAAGAAAAAAAGTTCAAAGTTCATAGTTAGAAAAATAGGGGTGAATATTTGTTTAAGAGTATGTGTCAATGGATGAGAAATAATTATGATGATAATGATAATAGAAAATAAACGTATAAGATTATGATGGGATAAGAAAAATAATGATAAAACAGTAATAATAAGGATAAAATGATTGTAGGACAGGATATTCATGATGGAACAATAATAATAAGGAAAAAATAAAAAGCAGTTAAGGCAACACACAGACACACCTCCCCCCCACACCCCCCCCTCCCTACACTCCCACACATCTCCCCCCACACACATATACACCTCCACCCCACCCACCCACACACATACAACCCCATCTTCCCACACAAACACCTCCTTCCCTACCCACACCTACATCCACTCAACAAAGTCCAACGAAGACCTCACCTAATGAGACATTCCTCCTGCTGGGTATTTCCTTCCTCAGGGCAAAGGTAGAACTCAAAGGTACCCTTCACGTCGGCAGGAATTTGTGCCAAGGTCATCAGGATCTGTTCAGGGAGAGAGAATGGCATTGCAGGTGAAGGACTTAATGAGTTAGTACTGAGGAGTTAAAGCGTAGTATTTAGGACTTAAGGAGGTAGTACTGAGGAGTTAAAGCGTAGTTTTTAGGACTTAATGAGTTAGTACTGAGGAGTTAAAGCGTAGTATTAACGAGTTAGTACTGAGGAGTTAAAGCGATTGTGATTTGCGAAGTTCTAGCTTCGCCCGGGCCTTCGGCTATGGTCCGGCGTATTAGGAGTTAAATCGTAGTATTTAAGACTTAACGAGTTAGTACTGAGGAGTTAAAACGTAGTATTTAGGAGTTAAGGAGTAAATACTGAACAGTTAGGGAGTTAGTACTGAGGACTTAAGGGGTGGTATTTAGGGGTTAAGGAGTCAGTATTTTCATTAATAGGAAAGGGGTGTTAATGGTATTAGTATTGCAAAATGTGGTCGCGTTTTAAAGTTTTAAGGTTATAGGGTACGTGTTATAAGTGTTATCAGTGTTATAAGGGTATAGGGTTATGTTATGAGTTATAGTATTAGTCATGCGGTTAATGATTAAAACAAATAAATGCACTAGACATCAAAGGTCATATAACACTATGGAAAAGTATTGTAAAAATGGGATAACGATTAGGATAAGTGGATTGAAGAAGTGGATGAAGAGAATGGAAAATGAAAGGAGGAGAAGAAGAAAAAAATACAAAAAACAGAAAATTAGTTAGGGCGAGGGCTGAGCACCCCCTACATTGGGCCCCAGTCTCCTCCCTCCCCCCCTTCCCCAGGCACCAACGAGCATGGGATTGGAGGGGGAAGGGTGGGGGTAAGTAGTGTTAGGAGGTAGGGTGCAGGGTAACGTGTTATGTTACTGAACCGTATTAATGTTGACAAATGTAGAAAAAAGTATGAATGAAATTTAATATCTTCCCAATGCAAGGGCTGTATTTGATCGGCTTCGACTATATCTTCGTCAGAAATACTAATAAATATTAATATCACTACCCAACGTAACAGGATACGCATCGTAAAGTTTAAGTGTCACGAGCAGACAAGATACGTGTTATGCCTTACAATACCAATGTTAAAAGTAGAAATAAAATGATACCACGGCGACCCTGGACATATACCAAGCAGTAAATAGATAACTAAAGATAGATAAATAGAAAGGACTTACTCCTCCAGCAGGATACTCGTTCATCCTGACGGGGGGGCTGGCGTCACTGTCCTCCTTGGCGTCTCCCTGTAGAAGGAGGGGGTGTCGTCAGTATAGAGAATTGTGTTTGTGTTTTGTCGAGGTTTTTTTATTGGTCAGTTGTGTTTTTATTTTTATTTTTTTTATTCTCGTGTTTATATGGGGAAGTGATACTCCCAAAAAAAATATTCCTTTTTCTTTCTTTTCTTATTTTTTTTTTCTCTCTCTCTCTCTTTTTTTTTTTTTTTTACTTTCTCAATTTCTTCTTTTTCATTTATTTTTCTCTTCTTTTCTTTCCCCCCTTCTTCTCTATCTCCATCTCACCTCTCTCTCTCTCTCTCTCTCTCTCTCTCTCCCCTTTTTTTTTGTCTCCCTCTTCCCCTTCCTTTTTTCCTTCCTTCCTGCTTTCCTTCAACTTACCAGATTCCTACATTGTCGAGGAATAGGATCCAGGAGGCTTTGAGCAGAACAGGATCCTCGGAGCTGGAAGAAAAGAAAAGATAGATTTTTATTTTTTTTATTTTTATTTCTTCTTATTTCAGTTTTATTTTTATCTGTCTAGTTCATTTCCTTTTCCGTTTATTTTGTGTATTTTTGAATTTATTATCGTAATTTTTTGGGTTTGTTTTTGTTTTTTTTTATTCATCTTTATTCGTTTATTTATTTTTTGGTTTATTGTTCGTTATTTCTATGTTTATTTATCATTATTTCTCTCTGTTTTTATTTGTTGTTTCCCTTTTTGTCTTTTATTTTTATTTATTTTTTTATTTTCCATTTTTATTTCTTACTTAATAATCATTTGCTTCTATCTCATTTATTATATTCATTATTTTTCTATGTATTATTTCACTTTTATTTCTTATTCATTATCTCTATTTTTATTTACTATCTGTCATCTCTGTCGTTATTTATGATTTCTGTGTTCTATTTAGATAGATTATTTCTATATTAGATTTGATACACTTTTTTATTTACGTTTAATAGATCATGCGTACAAGCATTGGTAGATATATAAGCATAGGTATACATAAAAGTATACACATACACCCGCACACACATTCATACATACACTCGCAGACACACACGCACACTCCCACGTACATACACACACACTCCCACGTACACACACACACACACACACGCACACACACATACTCTCCCACGTACATACACACACTCATACAAACACACACACACAAACCTATATTTTTACGCACACAAAAAATTACTCTTTATGAACATTTTTGCAGTCTTAAATTCAAAGCATTATTTGCCTATACCGAACTGATCAAAAGACACATATGGCAATTTGTTATAAAAAAACATGTTTATTCGTCCACGAATTTAAGAAAACGTGAAGATACTGAAATAATAATGGCTTGTGTTCAAAGTTATCCAGTTAATTATTTTTTCTTGCTCACTCACAGTCTTCTGTGATATAGGCCTATACAATTAGAATTAGATTAATATGAGCATTCAGAAAAAAAAAGTTATAGAAATTTTTTAGT